TGTTGCCTTTTTTTTAAAAAAATTTTATTTGAATTTTAGAGACTGCCAAAATTAGACAGCATTTTCCTTGAGATACTGTAGCTTTTATTTGCTTGAGATACTGTAGCTTTTATTTGGTTTTCCTTGAGATACTGTTGCTTTTATTTGCCATCTGTCTAGTGGGGGCCTTCTATAGGATCAGAAAGGAAAGAGTATCTGCCTACTATTGCAGTGGGTAGACCATTTGTCAGCTAGCCTCTACCTGGTATTCTACCCTGCCTATGTTGGTCACTGGGGAGCAAACTGAGACTGTGAAAAACGGGAATGCCAGCCCAGCCCTCAAGTACTTCTCATTCTATCAGGGTAGAGAAGATGTCCTTGGACTCCCTTGGAAGACACTATGGGGCATGACCATAATAGGTATCAAAGGATGTGGAGTATACTGAGGGGCTAGGGATATTTTGGAGGAATAAGTAGATGGTGAGGACTAGCCTCTGGGAGGAGACAGAACTTGACTGGGCATTGACAAGTGGGGGAGGGGCTGGAAGGGGGATGGTTTTGTGGGAATTTGGAAGTGTCTTAATGCAAGTACTGGTCAGTTTATTTATTTATTTATTTATTTATTTATTTTTGCACTGAAGTGGTTGGACATATTTGAAATCTCTGAGTAGCTAGTCTGATTATTATTTTCTCCTGTTTTAAACATTTTAAAACTAGACTCTGGAACAAATGCATCACATATTTTATCTCCTTGATTAAATGCAACCATCATAGAAGGATGGACTCTGTTATTATTTCCATTTGTACACAAAGAAACTGGCACACAGAGAGTTAGTAATCTGTTTAAGGTTGCACAACTAGGCTTTTTCCTCCTCCTCCCCCTTACAGTCTTTTTCAATAATCTCAGAAAAAAGATGTTTGGGTAATTTGTGGCAGTAGTGAAACAGAATATTTCCTTACTGCCTGCACTTGAGAGTGGAGGTGTGATAACATGGAGCCCTTGAAAGTAGGCAGCAGTGATAAGGATCAGACCAAATTAGGGATGGTGGAGGATGGAGGGTGGAACTAAGGATGGTGCTCTTGGTGGGAGATATGGCTTCCATCCAGCAATACAAAGGCTTCTTGCAGCTGGTTTCAGTTCCTTTTATGTTTGCACACCTTGTCTGGTTTTCTCCATCCCCATACCCATACTGTAAGGAATCAGACTGCTGTTGTTGTTGTTGTTGTTGTTTTGTGCCGTCGAGTCAGACCCGACTCATAGCGACCCCTCCTTGGGTTGCTGAGGCAGTATCACTATGGAAGTAGGTTGCCCAAACTTCAGACTAGACAAATTTAATTTCTTTTATTTTGTTTAACTTCTTATGTTGACCTTGTTGAGCCTTGGGGTTCTTTTATACCAGTCCAGGGTAGAGTCATCTCAGGACAGAAGTGCTATTGTGGCAAAATGCTTTATCTTTAGGAACTGGGTTTGCAATTTAGATGTTCAAGCAGGGTTTAATATGTCCCTACAGGTACTCTCAGGACAGTCCAGGGAAATAGTGGTATGTGACATTAATACCAGTTTTAATCATTGGCTCTATAGGAGAGCTTGGGTTGCAGTTTCAAAACATTTTGCTGCTAGTGCTGTAGAATGTCAGAAATAGGCTCTGTTCACAGGTGTCTGTAGAATGTCACAAATTGGATTTTGAAGACAGAGGATTTCAGGGTTGTTTGCCAGGGTTATCTCTTCTACCATTTCCATGCCCCATAAAATGGCTTACCCCCAGATCTCAGCTTCATGTTTATTCCACTGTTTTCCCTACATGTTTATTTTTGTTGCTTTTCCTTTATTCTTCATGTTTCAAATTTCTTCTGATCTCATTTGCTTTTTGTTTGAAGAATTTTCTTTAACATTTTTTTTTTTTTCAGAGCAGATCTGGAAAATAATTCGTTTAGTTTTCTTTTATGCAGGAATGTCTTTATGTTACCTTTATTCTTGAATCTTGTTTCTGCTGGATATAGAATTCTTGTCATTTATTTGCTTTCAGCACTTTATAAATATCATGTGATTTCTTTCTTTTCTCCATAATTTTTGATGAGAAAGTCACAGTCACCTAAATTGTTTCCCTACAGATAATGTATTGTTTTTTTCTGTGGCTGCTTTCAGTATTTTTTCTTTGTCTTTGTTTCCAGCAGTTTGATTATGATATTTCTGGACACAAATTTCTTTGGGCTTATTATGTTTGGGGTTCATCGTGCTCCTTAAATTTGTGTATGTTTGCCTTTTGCCAAATTTGGAAAGTTTTCAGCCATTAATTTTTCAAATACCCTCTTTTCTGGGACTCCATTACACAAGAGTTAGGTCTTTTGTTTGAGCCCCACAGGTCATTAAGGCTTTGTTCATTAAACAAATAAACAAAACAAACAAACAAACAAAAAAGCAAGAACTTTCTCTGTTGTTAGATTGGATAGTTTTTAATTGATCTGAAAATTCACTGATGATTTCCTCTGTCTTCTCCATTCTGCTCCTGAGCCCATTTAGTGAGTTTTAAAATTTGGTTACTGCATTTTTTCCATTCTAAAATTTCCATTTGTTTGTTCTTTAAATTTTCTTTTTCTTTTTTTTTTTTCTGAGACTTTTTTTCCCATTGGTTTCAGTAGTGTTCATGATTGTTTGCTGGGGCATTTGTATTATTGCTACTTGAAGGTTTTTGTCAAATACATGTGTCATCTTGGGGTTGGTGTGTCTTTTCATTGTCTTTTCTCATATTTTCCTAGTTCTTTACATACTGGGTAACTTTGGACTATATTCTGGAAATTTCATGTATTATTGTGTGAAACATTCAACTATTGCTGTTGCATCAATTGCAACTTACAGCATCCCTGTAGGAGAGAGGAGAATTGTCATTCAGGGTCTCCAAGGCTGTAAATCTTTATGGAAGCAGACTACCACATCTTTCTCCCATAGAGTACCTGGTGGGTTCAAACTTCCAACCTTTTGGTTCACAGATGAGTGTTTTAACCACTGAGAAACTATGACTTCTCTTTTGAAACATTAGACCTTATTTAAATCCTATGGAGAATGTACATGTTTTTGTTTTAGCAGGCCGTTGACCACTGGTTAGTTTCAGGCCACAGATTCCAACGTATCTTCTGTGGGTTGTGGTTCCAATGCCAGTTCTGTTTTTGAAGCCTTTGAAGTGCTACTCAGAGCTGTCTCATATGTGTACTAATCAGTGGCCAGTCTGGGGTCTTGGTGGAGGATACCTCAGAGCTAAGATGTCAAGCTCTTTGGTTTGCATAATAAGATTAGATCTGCCCCCTCCAGCTTAGGGGAGCAAAGACATTCATAATAATTTTATGGATTTCCTTCTCTGAATTGTTTCCTTCTCATAATCTCCCTGGAACTTTCCACTTTTTGATACTCTGGCTATAAATCTGGGGTTTTAGTCATCTCTGAAATTTTCTGAATCCTCTGAATTTCTAGGGCTAATCAACACTAGGACAAAGGGAGGATGAAAAGCAGTGGGAGTTAGCCCTTTTCTTTGAAGCCAGCTCCATCAAACATAGAGGAAGTTTCCTCTCCTCAGTGTTGTGTACTCCTTTTCCCAGCATTGGGATGTGGGTGATCAGAGAAATGAAAGAGATTTTTAAAAATGTTTATTTATTTTTTGTTTTTGAGAATATACACAGCAAAGCATACCCCAATCCAACAGTTTTTCCATGTACCATTTAGTGGCATTGATTACATTCTTCAAGTTATGCAACCATTCTCACCCTCCTTTTCTGAGCTGTTCCTCCCCATTAACATAAATTCACTGCCTAAGGTTCCTATCTAATTTTTCAAGTTGCTATTATCAATTTGATCCCATATAGGTAGTTCTTAAAAGAGCACAATGCTCAAGGCAGACTTTTTTTTTTTTTTAAAGAAAAAAAAAACTAAGCTAATCTACTGTTTGGCTTTAAGAAGACTTCAGGGATATTTTTCGTTTAAGATTTAAAGATTATCTCAGGGCAGTAGTTTCAGGGGTTCATCCAGCCTTCATGGCTGTAGACTAAAGTCCAGAGTCCATGAGTATTTGAAGTTCTGTCCTTCATTTCCTCCTTTTGATCAGGATTCTTCTAGGGAATCTTTGATCAAAATGTTCAGTAATGGTAGCTGGGTAACACCCAGTTATTTTGGTCTCATAGCAAAGGAGCCAGTTGTTCATGGGAGAAGTTAGCCACACATTCCATATCTTGCCCCTGTTCCTGACTCTTCTTCTTCGTCTGTTGTTCCAGAAGAATAGAGACCAATTGCGGAGGCTTGTATGGCTGTGTACAAGCTTTTAAGCCTGCAGGTGCTATGCAGTGGATTAGGAGGTAGAACAGAAGCAGTAAACATGTTATTACACCAATTAACTAAGATGTCCCATGGAACTATTACTTTAAACTTCCAAATCAAGTAACCAAATCCCATGAGGTTTTTGCTTGTACATAAGCAGACTCAGCAACTACTCTCTCTCTTTATTTCTATTTCCTTCTTTTTTTTTTTTTTTAATAATTGTTGCAAATATATCTATCACACAACTTTTGAAAGAGATTTCCTAAGGAGGGAAAATGTCTACATTTTCCTATGTATTAGGAGGAGTTCTCTTTGCTGCCTCTGGACTCAGCTTTAAAGAGCTGCTCCAGTGCTCTCTCTTTCTGAGCCCCAAAGCTTACTTCCAGGCTTCTGGTACATTGACTCTACTCTGGGGACACCGTAGGAAGAAAAATGGTAAACTCATTGTCAGCTTTGTGTACCTCAATTTCTGGTTTTCTTCCCCAATCATCCTGCTATTATTTACTTTCCAGAGTCTTTATATAGTTGTTCCATGTTTTCCACCCAAGTTCCAATGGGAGTGAAATTTAGTGAAATAGTTATTTTGAGTAAGAGTGACTGGATGAGTGTGTTACTTCATTTTACCTAGAATTGTGACTCATGATTATATTTGTATGCTTACTTTTGTATCATATGAATGATACTTGGCATATAAAGCTTATTTGTCTTTTATTGTCAGTGACAGTATATGAAGTACGTATGACCACAGGCGAACTATGGAATGCTGGAACAAAAGCAAATGTCTATATTTCTATCTATGGGGAAAAGGGAGATACAGGATCTAGACAACTATTTAGATCTAAGAGCACCTTCAATTTCTTAAGAGGACAAGTAAGTGAGAAAAAGTTTTATATATAACAAATTTTTGTTGTTGAATGTTGAAATTGAATATATTACATCATTTTCACTGTTACTAATAACACAAGTAAGGCACTCTGATGGCACAGTTGTTAAGTGCTTACTTGCCAACCAAAAGGTTGCTTTTTGAATCCACTTAGCATCTCTATGTAAGAAAGTCTTGGGGACCTGCTTCCATAAAGATTACAGCCTAGGAAAGCCTACATAGCAGTTCTACTCTGTAACACAAATAACATTTAGAGGCTGTTTTGTTTTGTTTCTGCTGTAATTTTTTAACTGATTTTCCATATTTTAGTTATTTCGGCTTTCTTTGATGACCCAAGCAGTTCTTAAATGAGTGCATCCAGATATTTTCATTGCATATTTTCTTTTCTTTTTAAAGAACATGTACAGAAATTATCATTAAATATCATAGTTCTTAATTTTCTCTGCCAATATTTTCTTTTATTTCATAGAATGTCCTATTTTTTTTTTTTTTTAGCAGATCTGTTTGATGTATAAAGGGATAACAAAAATCTGTTGCCATTGAGTCAATTCTGGCTCATGATGACCCTAAGAGATACAGAGTAGAACTGCTCCATAGGGTTTTCTTCTCTGTAATCTTAATGGAAGCAGATCACCAGTCTTTTTTCTTTCGTGGTAGCACTGAATGGGTTTGAGCCACCAGTCTTTAGTCAAGAGCAAACATTTGTGCTACCTTATTTGTTATGGATTAACCTGTACCAGACATGAACAGTATCGTTGGTTAATGAGCGCAAATAATTTCATTTCTTATAGCTTACTTTCTTAACAGTGTATTTTATGCAATGGAAGAGTAGTTAAAAAATAAAATAGTCTTACTGCATTTCAGAAGAGCTGAGCTCTAATCCTAAATCTACGACTCACCCTTTTTTATCTATAGACAAGATATGCTTTTCTTGCTGTACTTCTTGGAGGATAAATCAAAATATATGTGAAAATACTTTGAAACATGAGACACTATACAAATGCAAAGTTTTTTTTTTGTTTGATTTTGGATTCTTTTCAACTGATGTGCTACATGTAGGTTTTTCTTTTTTTCATTTTCACCTGTAACATTTTCTTACATAGGTTTTTTTCAAAGGAACTTTGGGCTCTTCGAGTTTAACCACAAATAATGACAGCATACACATATCATCTAATTTTGATTGTAGCAGCATGGTGGGACTCCAAGTAAATGCTATAACTCTAATATTTTTACATTCTTATCCTAAAATTAATAAACATTATAATAATGAATGGGAGCTATGTATGGTAGCATAGTGCCTAAGGCACTTGACTGCTAACCAAAAGACTGGCAGTTCAAACCCATCAGCCACTCCTTGGAAGGAAGATGTGGCAATCTACTTCTGTAGTGATACTGCCTTGGAAACCCAAGGAGGGGTTGCTATGAGTTGGGTCCAACTCAACAGCACATATCAACAACAACAGCAATAGTAATCAGTGGTCTACAGATATTGCTTGTGAAAGCAAAATAATTCCTTCCCAGTACAGACAAGAGTTTTGTATATTTAGTATATTTATGAATGTAAACTTATTGTATATTTCATAATTATTACATTTATAATTATTTAAAAAATATAATTGTAGATATTCCCCAAGATATGCTTTTACAACTATAAGTTAGCAACAAAGAAGAGAAGGGTATAATTGAAAAACAGGTATTATAGTTTATAAAATACTGTTTTGCCTTTAATTTCTTAATCTAGACAGATGTGTGTTTGCTTAATGAACCTTTTTTTTTTTTTTTTTTTGCAGTAAGTTATCACTATATCTTAATTTTCACTTTTGGTAGAAATAATAGTTAATGTCCTAGACTTAATTAAATTCTTTTGATTGGTTATAGACTGACACTTTCTCTCTGGAAGCTGTGCACCTTGGGGATTTGTATAAAGTTGTCATAGGTCATGATGGCCTTGGACCAGGTAAGATTTTATTATTAAGATTTGGCATAATGTGTAAGGCATTTGACTGCTAACCAAAAGGTTGGCCATTCAAATCCACCAAACACTCCATGGAAGGAAGCCTGGGAAATCTACTTCCATAAAGATTTACCACCTTGGAAGCACAATGGGGGTCACTATGAGTTGGAATTGACTTGATGGCAGTGAGTTTTTTTTTTTTTTAATTCTACTATATTTATGCAAAACTCTGCACAAATATAGAAAATAACTGTGGAAAATTGCTCTCTAAATTTTTACCATATATAATCAAATTATTTTCTCCAAATATCATTTGAAATTTAGACAGATGTATTTTTCTTCAAAGTGACCTGGGCTTAGATATATAATAGAGCTAACAAGGGGCAAAATTATGATAACTACTTGGCCACAGCCCACCACCCTGAGGAAATGAGCAGTTGAACCTATGGACTTGGGACCATGGTTGCAGGGGACATCAAGTTCAATTGGCATAACATACCACACAAAAATAATGTTCTACATTCTACTTTGGTGAGTAGTGACTGGGGTCTTAAAAGCTTGCAAGCAGCCATCTAGATGCAATAGTGCTTGTCCAGAGCAAAGGAGAATGAAGAAAACTAAAGATGCATAGAAACAATTAGTCCAAGGGACTAGTAGACCATGTCATCCTCAGCCTATATGACCATGAGTCCAGAAGAAGTAGATGATGCCAAACTACCACTCTCAACCATTTGGAAAGGGATCAGTGCAGGAGATCCTGGATACAGTGGGAGAACAATGTAGAACAAAACTCAAAATCATAAAAAGACCAGGTTTGCTGGTCTGATAGAGCCTGAGACTATGCCCCAGGTTACCCTTCAGGTCTGGAACTGGACTTACGTCTGTGGCTTTCAGCCAAACAATGGATAGACATATAGGCTGAACATTTACGTCAGGTAGATACACTCCTTAGAGTGATCAATCATGGGAGAACAGAAGGCAGTGTTTGCGTGGAGAGATAGCTTGGGGGACAGTAATACATAGGAAAGAAGGACACAGGGAAGAGACGGGAGGAAGTGGGAAGAGAGCTGTTACATTGTGGGGAATTGCAATCAATGTCGTGAAACAAAATGTGTATGAACTTCTGTGTGGAAAATAAATTTTCTATGTAAACTTTCACCCAAATCACAATAAAAATTGGGAAAAAAAAAAAAACCTGGGCTCCAGTAATTGGGTTTTTCGCCCCAAAATCCTGAAAAGAATAAGGCAAAAAAAAAAAAAAAAAAGAGGGTGGGAGGGGAAGGGAGATATTGGGATTGATATGCTATGGCTTGTGGGAGCATTCCAACAAGCTGCTGGTTGAGGCAACAAGCATCTACTGGTGATAACAGTGCACAGAGCTAGTGCTGGCGATAGTGCCAACAGCAGAATATTGAGGAGACTGCCTGCCAGCAGGATCTCAGGTATGTTTTCTCCTTCTACTTTGTTCATATGTTTTTTCACCAGGTCTGTGAGATGACTCACATCCTTCCAATGCATTCTTCTTCTGCTATATAAAAGCTGTAAGATAAATATAATTCATTTAGCAAAGACAGGATACTAAAGGGTGCATACCAAAAAGAGCATAAAAAAACAAAAAAGCCTAAAACTAGGTGATACTTGCACAAATGTGTTAAACTTTCCTACTAAAAAGTATCAAAGTTTACTTTTCAAAATACCAAGAACAAAATTCTCATACAAATATATTATGATCAGGTGTTCAAATAATTTGTGACAGAATTAGCAGGAGGCAAATTTGGTTCAAAGGAGAATATCAGAAATTTATCTTAACGACAACAAAAAGCAAAATAAAATATTTAGGTTAGGGGAAAAAAAAGAAAAGTGTATCCAAATGGGGAAGGAGAAGTAAAACTATCTGTTTTTGCAGATCACATCGTTCTACATATATATAAATACCATAGAATCCAGAAAGGAGTTATTAGAATTAATAACTGAATTCAACAATGGCAGGGTAGAAGGTAAACAAAAATCAGTAGGGTTTCTACACATATGCAGTGTGCAAGAGGAAAAGAAAATTAAGGGAACGTTACCTTTTAAAATAGTATCTACAAGTAAAAACACCTAGGAATAAATTTAACCTGGACAGTAAAAACCCTGTATACAAAAATGTGTACAACATGGCTTAAAGAAATCAAAGACAACCTAAATAAATGGAAGACTATCTAGTATTTGGGGATTGGAAGCTTAATGCACTTAAGAGTCAATACTACCCAAAGAAATCTATAAATCCAATTAAATCCCCGTAAATATCCCAACAGTCTTCTTGGCATAAATGGAAAAGCCAATCTTCAAATTTATATGGAAGGGCAAGGGACCTTGATTAGATGAAATAATCCTAAAAAAGAGGAAAAAAGAAGGATGACTCATTTTCTTACTTCAAACATGGTATGAATCTACAATTTAAAATAATAGGGTACTTGTATAAGGATCTCTGGTAGTACGGTGGTTAAAGCGTTTGGCTGCTAACCAAAGGTTTGTGATTCAAATCCACCAGCTACTCTGCAGGAGAAAGATGAGTCAGTCCACTTCAGTAAAGATTTATTGTTGTTGTTGTTGTTATGTGCCATCGAATTGGACCCGACTCATAGCGACCCTCCTTGGGTTTCTGAGGCAGTATCACTACGGAAGTAGATTGCCCCATCTTTACAGCCCTGGAAATCCTATGGGGGAAGTTCTAGATTTTTTGGGGGATACTAGTACAATAACAGGCCAATTGTGAGTTCTTTTGTTTTCTTTATGTTGAGGTGTAATCCATACTGAACATTAAATTCTTTTTCATCAGTAAGTGCTTCAAGTCATCTTTACTTTCAGCAAGTAAGGTTGTGTCATCTGCATATTGCAGATTGTTAATGAGTCTTCCTCCAATACTGATGCCACGTTTTTCTTCATATAGTCTCGCTTCGCAGATTATTTACTCAGCATAGATATTGAATAAGCATAGTGAAAAGATATAACCCTGACATACTGCATTCCTGATTTTAAACCGTGGAGTATCTCCTTGTTCTATTTGAACAACAGCCTGTTGGCCTGTGTACAGATTCCCCATGAGCACAATTAAGTGTTCTGGAATTCCCATTCTTTGCAGTGTTATCCATAATTAGTCATATCCATACAGTCAAATGTATTATCATAGTCAATAGAACACAGGCAAACATCTTTCTGATAGTCTTTTCTTTCAGTGAAGGTCCATCTGACATCAGCAATGATATCCCCATTCCATATCCTCTTCTGAATCCAGCTTGGATTTCTGGAAGTTCCCTGTCAATATACTGCTGTAACCATTTCTAAATTATCTTTAGCAAAGTTTTACTTGTGTGTGATATTAATGATATTGTTTGCTAATTTACACCTTCTGTTGGTTCACCTTTCTTTAGAATAGGCACAAATATGGATGTCTTCCAGTTGGTTGGCCAGGTAACTGTCTTCAAAATTTCTTGGCATAAATGAGTAAGCATCTCCAGTGCTGCATCTGTTTGTTAAAATATCTCAGTAGGTCTTCTGTCACTTCCTGAAGCCTTGATTTTTGACAATTCCTTCAGTGCAGCTTGGACTTTTTCCTTCAATACAGTTGATTCTTGATCATATGCTACCTCCTGATATATTTGAACACCAACCAGTTCTTTTTGGTACAGTGAGTCTGTGTATTCCTTCCATCTTCTTTTGATGCTTCCTGAATTGTTTGATATTTTCCCCACAGAATCCTTTAATATTGCAAGTTGAGGCTTAAATTCCTTCATTTCTTTAAGCTTGAGAAACACTCAGCATGTTCTTCCTTTTTGTTTTTCTAATTCCAGGTCTTTGCACAGAGTCTCTTCTGACATTTGTTTTGGTCTTTTCTTCCTTTCCTGTCTTTTTAATGACCTTTTGTTTTCTTCATATATGATATTCTTGATGTCATCTGTGGCAGTTAAGGTTGTGTGTCAATTTTCCTGAGGCTCGGTTTTGAGTTACTTAGCAGCTGGATGTAGTTATTCCCCAGGATGAGATTGTAATTATCTCTCTGGTGGAATCTGCTGTGAGACATTAATCAATGGAAAGGGAGCCTCCTTTAGGGTGTGGCTTGCTTCCAGTATATGTAGAGAAGCTTTGGG